AAGCACCGTTCCATTACTATGACAAACATGAGAAAACGAATTGTCCGAAGGCAGATTACACATGCCTGTCTAGTTTTGATTAACAAAAACAAGCGATTTAGTACGCTTCACATGTTTTGTTTTCGATTCATATTTCACCTTATGTGACTTATTTTACCTTTATACATGTCTTTAGAGAACGAAGAAACTAGTACTTTATAATAGACTAAAAAATATGCATGATGGTGTTTGCGCAGGTTAATTACGCTGTCAAGTGCATTTTTTTTCTGAGATTTTTTTGCACAATTATTACCTCAATAGAAGGCCAGTTTGGAGCGAAAATTTTTAAAAAACATCCTATAGGACAGTTTTTCACCAAAAAAAGTGCGATATGCGAAACCATAATACCATGGCTTTCTATTATGAGGGGAGGAGGGATTAGACAAACTACCAAAACTTTCCTCCCGAGTTCTCTAATATTGGTGTGTATGTGCCTTGTAAATTAGTTCTAAAGTAGTTAATTCTAGTTGAACAGATCGAGAAAAGCTATCAATTGAAAAAAAGATAGAATGGTCTCCACATACATTAAAAAGACAACTGACTTACCTGATGTTGTATATATGTTGCAGACAAACCTCAAATTTAAATTTGTCTGGACAAAATTCATATTGAAAATTTAACCAGCAAATATTCGGTCAAAATCTAAATAAAAAACATAATGCTGTGATTATAGATCAAAAAAGTAAGATTTCTCACCGGTGTCCGTTTTTATCATATAGAAAGCCAAATCAAAGTATAAACGCACGCTCTTGGTCGTAGTCAGCAACAATCTATTTCACACATTTTGTCCTAATAAATTAGGAAATGAATCCTCGAATGCATACGATCATCGTTCAAGGACGTATGAATTTGGTTGGCTGAATAACAGTGGTGATGATCTACTTGAAGCAAACAGACATTGAAAACAACTTTTAAAGCGATCTTTGCCATTATAAGTTTTATAATGAAGCTCCTCTTGGTCATGCAAGATTAGCGTTTCTTCGTTCGCTATATGCGGCTGACCGTTAGCGTTAAGTTATTTTGTTTCAACAGTAAGAACAGTGCCATAGCCAGGTATCTTTCATCATTTGAATCATCTTAAGCCGCAACCTATCCGATCAGTTATTCTCGTATGCAGTTGTGTTAGTAGTCGAAGTGTTAAAGTACTTCAATTCTTTTTCCATTATAGTTTGAGCTCCTAACTGAGTCTAGATGAAAAGATGAAAATATACAAAAGTTGTTTAGTCCAACTACTTTGTTTATAGAGATGTGAGATGACTGTACTGGAAAGGGATATCACTGGACGAGCAGTGAAGTTAGCAGGTAAATATCTCAGCACTTCATAGATCAAAAATTTATTCACACTTAATGATCTCCGAGTAATTAATTGAATATAAACTTAATAATCTAGGAGGTATATTCATAGGGTGATAGAGAGTGGGCAGTTGATGGGCATGCTGATGACATCCCTCTTTATTTAACAACAACAAAAAAAAAGACAAGTAACAAAATATAAGTGGAAAATAACCTAAACAAGCTAGCAGTCTACCCACGCGGGTCATTGCACCTACCAGTTCTAACCGAAACGAAAGGATACTTATTAAATTGAAAATATTTATTATTCGAATTGAAAGTGTTCATTAACATCTTTGTCTGATGGTTTTTTTGACTGGGTAACGTTTTTATTCATTGTATTAAACCATAGAGATGAACCTATGGCTTTAATTCTGTTTCTAATGTGAAATGTTATTCTTATAAATAGGTCTAAAGGAAGCCTTTTTTCTATTTGGGTCAGTTAGAAACTAAACTAAGTATTTTGGCACTTCTGTTTTTTTTGTTTCTAAATGACTAGAACACAAGGATTCAGAGACGAATGGAAACATAATGAGCGTTTTCTTTCTCCTCTAACGGAAGAATTTGTGCTGCTGATCCCGTTTCACTAGTTTGACCCGTTAGATGTACAAGTCTGGGCTTTCGGTTTCTCAAATGGCAACAGCAATCAGTCATCAACATATGGGGTAATCCGGCTTTAATCGGCTTTTCTGTTTGAAGTCGCCCAGCCGCTATACCATACTGACCAGCCAAAGGCATAAACCAGAACCAACTATCATCTCTTAGGCAAGCAAAACAATAATAACAAGCACCAACAAAATAGACAATATCGCCATAAGTATATAAATAGTTTGTACCGTATTGTTCGGGGTGAGCTGTTATCTGAATATTATAAGTTATGTAAATCAATGAACTAATGAAGGTGCACAGATAAGCAACTGTATCTGGATCGTCCAGCGAAAAACCACGCCCAAGTGTACGAGTATAAGTTCGATACCAGGACATAATCCTAAACAGTACGGAAAAAAAGGGTTGTAACTTTTTTTAACTGCCAAAACAGCGATTCTGAAATTTTCACAAAAGCAGACTCTGGCAGAGACCTACTCGAAATTTGAACGGGACTACCTACCATCCACACGATGCCAGCAACTCGACAAATGCTGCTGTTATTTCAATTTTATGCACACACAATGTATAATAAGCAAATAACGTTGTTTCTCTTTTATACCACACAGCACTCCAAATGTAAAGACCAGCTTCAATAAAATTCAGATATTCAGGGATCATAATAACATCCAGCCATGTGTGGTCGCTCCATGCCCACCAATAAAGAAAGGCTGAGATCATATGTACGATACCAAAACCTAGAACAGAACAGATTTTAGAGTGAATTATAAAAGTGTTACTAGATTTTAAGGATTTTTACCGAAATAGAGGTTGTTAACTAAATCTGCACTTGCAATAGGTTGATCTGGTGAGATGGTCGTTGTGTAGTCGGTCGAATTATCAAGACAAGAACATTCGGTAGTAACATCACTTAGGTCAACAGCTGAACTGCTACCTGCTGATCCGTTCACATATGGATTGAAGTCAATGATCAAGATTCCAATTGCATAGCCCTACAGTAATAGAACCTTCTTTCCCAATCAAAAGCATACGATCAATTTTGTAAGTCAAAAAATTTTGTAACTTGAAGTGTTTGTCTATTCTCTTTGATCACTCACACCTTGAAAATTTTTCAATAAAAACTGTCAAGACAATTAGATTGACCAAACATATTTCACTGAGAAAATTTGAGCATCCGTACAACTTACCAGATAAACCAAATTGGCTAACATATAACGATTTCGTATTGTTTTTGACAGACATATTGGCACTCGTGTT